TGGCGGCGACGGAGCGCCGCGTACTGACCTGGGCTGCGGGCGAGGCGGGGACGCTGCGCGGCGATGGCCCCCCCGGCGCGGAGCGCGCCACCGACGGACTCAGCCCGTGACGGGTTCCGCCATCTTGGAAATTTTTTTTAGATGGGGAGTCACGTGGTGCAACCATTTTTCCCCCCAGCCAATCAGCGGGCGCGGGTTATTTATAGCCGCGCGGGGGAAGGGGTCCAATCGGGCCCCGCCTCGCGCGCCCCCGGCCACGCCCCGTGGCGCGCGGCCCGTCGCCATGGCGACCGGGGGGCGGGACGGGGGCCGCCATGTTGGCCCCGAGCCCCGCCGGGAGCGGGGAGCGGGGATCGGGATCGCGGGAGCGTGTTCCTGCCCCCCCCCCACCCCCAGAGGCCACAGCGGCTGCGATCCGTGCCGTATAGGCGGTATTGCGATAAATCCCTGGAACTTCGGGGCTTTTTTGCACCCCGATTTTCCGCAGCCGCGGTCCCGCTCCCCCGTGGGCCGTTCTGTGTTTTCCGCCAGGTATCGCCTGTAACAGCGAACAGCTGAGGCGAGGGGTAAAAGACAGAAAGGGCAGGGCACGGTTCAACATATTTGCCTGAATTACCGGGAGAATATAGAAAAATAAAAAGGAGTTGTCCGGCAGTGCTTCCCTCCGCCCCCGTTTCCCAGCGAGTGAGTGGCTTGATTCACCCGGTGCCCAAAACTCCCCAAGACCTGCTCCCAAACATTCCAGGTGATGGGAAGGAAAATATTGCAGTGTTGGGTGCAAGGAGTTCATCCTGTGGGACACAATCCGATGGGAACGCCCCACCGGCGATGTATTATCCCATTATTTCTGTTTTCCAGAGCAGCTGTGGCTGCCCCTGGATCCCTGCAAGTGTCCAAGGCCAGGCTGGACGGGGCCTGGAGCACCCTGGGACGGTGGAAAGGAGATTTCCTGCTAAGCTTCCAAGGAGTTTCTTTCCATCCTTGCCTAAGGCAAGCTGAAACATGACATTCCTTATTCGCAGGCAGCCGTCCCAGCGCGCTTCTGGTGGGTTTGATTAATTGGCTCTTGCTAAATTGTTTTTAAAACTTCCAGATTTCCCTTATAGCAAAAAAAAAAAAAAAAAAACCAAAAAAAAACCAAAAAAAAACACCTCCTGTCGTTCAGCCATCTGGATTTACATAAATTCTGGGACCTGATGGGAATTGCTAACAACTTTGTCCCTCTCTCTTTTACTTTTTTGGACATATTTACCACCTGTGTTTTCATTTGAAAGGGCCACCCTTACAAAAATCCTTGGCACATCGATCCCATCCTTAAAGTTTTGGGGTTTTTTTTCCCACGCGGTCGACAGGCTCCCAGGAAATGGTGCCATTTCCCTGGAACGCACATCTGAGAGCACCACTGGCATTAAGAGCACCTCTTCTGCCTGGAGCCCAAGCCCTTTTTGGTTCATTTGCCTCCTCTTTGGGCTCGTGGGCTTGTTTGTTGTTCTTTGGCCGCTGAGGTTTATCAGAGTTGTTCTGCTCTCTTTACTGGGGCCAGCCCTGCGCTGGGATGGATGGGGGGATGTGTGTATCAATAACCTCACATTTATTTCTGAGTGCCAAGAGACCTGTGGGTGGAAGGCCTTCAGGGCAGAGGGTTGCCAAGGCAGGGCAGTATTTGCCAACAGGTCTGCTTGCTGGTGGCTGGAGCAGGGCATGGCTGTGGCAGCCAGTGGGTGTCTGCCCTCCCTTGTGGTCCCCATTTCTGCTCCAGCCAGGGGGGGATTTGGTCCCAAACCCTTTAAACGTGGGTGACAACCCGCCCTGCTGCCTTCCCTGGCTGCGCTGCTGGAGCAGTTTGGAAACAGGAAACGAGAGGAGAGAGCTGTGCCCTGGAAGTTGCCATGGAGGGTAAGTTCTACCTTCAGGTTTTGATTGATGCTGTACCTGTGGCTGTGGGTGTGAGTACGTGTCTCTATTAATACCCAGTCTAGGCTAACCTGTGCATAATGGCAGAAAATTAAACCTTTGTCTTTGCTCATGGAAATCAGACCTCAGAGATTCACAAGGGAAAGGCTTCTTGCTATATGTTAAATCTAACATGTTGGCTGTAGCTGTGTATAGTCTGTTTTTACTGTATTTGCAGCTGAAAAACTTACTCAGAAGCCTGTTGAAGCAAAAAATAAAAATCTAAAATAAAAACCAACACCCTGGCAGAGCTAATTCATAAAGATTTAAATAAAAAGCAATTACAGAACTTCCCGCCTACCTCCAGCTCATCTTTAGCTGAACTCCTTGTTTGTCAGGAATGATTCCATTTTTTGTGTTCTCAAGCAGGAAACAGCCATCACAACACTCCAACTAATTTCCCTCGCTAGTCACAGTGAGCTGGTGAAAGTAAAAGAGGGTGCTTCAGCTTTCCACTCCAACCCTGCCACTCCACAGGCTAAAAAAAGGAGGATAGAGTTAAGAAGAGAGCCAGCAGGAACTTTCTCTGGAGCCTAGACACCAAAGATCTACTCCAAGTGCCAGTGCCACTTGGGTCCTTGGAGAAAAGTCAAGCCTAGACACAATTTCCCACCTGGTGATGGCTCCCTCTTCTTCCTCCTGATCATTCAGTCTGACCTCCCTTGGTTTTCCTGTCCCCCCCCATCACCCTTCTGTGCTTTGTGTCCCATTCCCTGTTCTCCATCTGTCCCACAGTACACTGGTTTGCTCCTTTTTGCCATCAAAAGGAAAACCCCATCAAACCCACACAGCTTACAGAACAGCTCTGATGGGACAGGGAATGTTAAATTTACGTTGCCCCCTCCTGTGTTTTCCTCCAACATACCTTTTATTGTGGAGTTTTCTTCTGTTGTTACTGGCTTTTTAATCCTGGTGAGTTTTGTTTCAGCAGGAGCTCCTCGTTCTCTCCTGGCCTCACAGCTTGCTCTGAGCCAGAACAAGGTGGTTCTCCTCCACTCCTGAGCCCCCCACGCCTGTGTCTGGCTGCAGGAGCCGCTTCCCAGCTTGTCTGCACACCCAACACTTCATCAGGCCTGCAGCACTCAGGGCCTGGAGAGCTGAAAGCCTGAAGCAGTAAGAGCCAGACACCTAGAAACAAGTTATTGCTGTTGTTTTGGGCAAAATCAAGACCCTGTCTCCTGCCTGGGGGGGAAAAACAAGCAAGTGAAGTTCAAAATGGAGGTCACATATGTAAAGTTGGCTTTCTTCTCCATATTTACACTATATTTTTGCTGATGGAGATACATTGGATTGTTATGGCAGTCACTTTAAAATGACTGAGTACAATACACCTTTAAAATAAAACTGCTTGCTGAAGTTTGTTTTCAATATTTTTCTGGATTTCTATAAACTTCCTATTTATTTAGCAGCTATGCTCTCAACTATGTTATGGAATATCCTGACTTCAAAGGGATCCACAAGGATCATCATTCCTACTGCAGAGAGAAAAATTATTCTGTGGCCATTACAAACCACTGACCAAAATTTCTTAGGGTGTCATCATCCCTCCAAATTAAACTGAAGAATTAAGAGTATGAAAGAAACCTCTTTTCCCCCTCAACTGGTTTTTGGGGTTTTTTTGATTCAGTCACTTTCAGTAACACATTTAGGCTTAAATTGCAATAAAAAGCAGAAATAATTCTAAAATGAAATGGAATCTTTGTGAAGTCGAGGCTAGAATAACTGTTGGATATGCTTAATTTATCAGCACTCATTTTCCGATTCTTAATATTAAAAATAAGGGAAATGTGTATCAATTTATTATATTTATTTTCATCCACGGCAGCTGCTGGGAGAAAAATGTGGGGTGTGTCTCTCTAGAGTGGGAATCTTCAAGGAAATATTGATCCATTTTTCTATTCTGTCTCTTTCAACCAGACAAAAAAAAAAAAGACATTGTCCAGGGTGAAAAACAATTAAAATCTAAGTAAATGTAAGAAAAATATGACCAAGGGGAAAAAAAAAAAAAAAGAAAGAAGGAAGAAAAATAGAAATAAAAACATTTGCAGCCTGGCCCCTGGGTGTTGGTTTTATGTGAAGAGACTGACTTGCAGCTGAATGACGAGTAGGATATTTTTCTACTGAAATATTGATAGTAGATTACACTAAACCACAAACTATCTCCAGAAAGCCCATCATTTCTAATCCTAATGGTGTTTTCTTTCCCTTGGCTGACTACTACATTCATGAGATGATGGCTTTATTCTATCTGGGGGAAAAACTTTTTACCATACAGCTAAATTAACTTGTCAAAAGACTTCAAACTTCGGAAGCTTTTACAGCCCGATTCAAAGCTATTATTCAGGACTGAACGAGAAGGCTGTGGACTGTAAGAGATGGCAAAAAAAAAAATTCAGCAGCATTCAGGAGTTGAATGGAGCACTCACTTTTTGTTCAGGTTGTGTGTGTTTCATTGAGCTGTCTCGGAAAGAGCTGGATTTTTGTATTTTAAAGCAAAATGCTTCTTTCTGCTACTCTGGAAGCTGTGACCCAGTCCATGCTCTTTCACACACACTTGGTTATATTTAGTTTGTGCCAACCTAAATAAGTGTCAACCAGCTTTCCAGAAATGTGGAGAGCACAAAAGAGAACGGCCAGCAGCTAAATTGAGGCAGAACAAGAACACAATTAGACTTATTTTTATCCTTTTCTTTTAAAATCAGATCACAGACTATCTTACAGTCAGCTACAGCTTTCTCATGCAAATAAAAATGCCTGGCTTCAGGAGCAGCAACTTTTAGATTTTGCAGACGAGGAGCAGCTGGCAGAGCTCGTGCTTGGAGTCTTTCCTGTCGCGGATCCAATCTACTTTGGGACAGATCTGGAATAAAAAGCCAAGCTGACAACTGCAGCCCCTGGAAGGGAAGCCAAGGCTCTGTGGGAGCGTGCAAACACCTTCAGGATGTGGCAGGACGGGACCCACCGTGGGCAGCACGGGGAGTGGCCGTGATCCAGCGCGCTCTGGATGCAGCTGCCTAGGGCTGCTCCACAGGGAATCCTGAGCGCAGGAGCAAGCCTCAAACACAGCTTCTCAGCGAGGCCTGCAGGGAGGTTCTGCCGCCCACCGGGGACCCACAACTCACTCCCCCGTTCAGAAACTGAATTAGAGGCCCTGGAGTGTTCACAGAGGTGCCCAGAGCTTGCAGCGTGT